CTTCTTCGTACTTTTTGGCATGTTGCGGGCTCTGTTCAGTAAAACCCTGACTATAATTCGGTCTGTAAAGTGGTAAAAACAATACATAAATCCATGTATTTATCGTGGTACCGTCCAGCAAAACATTGTGAGAGTCTCATCACCACGCTAACATTCTTTTCAGGGCTTGGTTTCCTACCCAGATATTCGCGGAGCCATCGAGGCTACTATGCCTTTAAGTAATATTGCATTTAGCCAGTATACAGATAACTCAATAAATCGCAGCATATATCAAATTAGAAAGGCGCTCATATCAGAAGGTGTTAATGCTAAAATCGGAAGGTATTATTGCTTCCCTCTTCGTCACGCCAAAGATCTGTCATGAACGTTACCAGGTCATGTGCAAAAGGCATTATGCACTTAGCACCCTGTCCCTTAGACGTATTACTTGTCTGTGGCCCGTCGAACTCTTCAATATTCTCCTTGACGTCGATCCAGTCTCTTAGAGTGCGACGAAATACGTCGAGGCTCTCTGATGCAGGTTTACACCCTATCAAATCAGCACGGATGATGACTTCACGCTTTTTGCGGATTAAGTATGAACGCTGGGGCGCTATTTTGAAAATGACCGCTGTATAAAGGAGCCCACACAGGACAAAAACTCTCAAACCTGCGAGGTCAAATATCCAGAGAGCTTAAACTATTTACCTACTTACGCAATTGGAACTGGGCCCATTACGATTTAGCGACATGGTAACATTAGCCACTGGCCGTCGGACGAGTTGGATAGCAGATGCATGGAGAATTGATCAGCGCCAAATATATGCACGCACGCGCGCTCCCGCATCGATGAAGTGTATCTGGCCGGCTTTAAAGTACTGAATAAAATCAAATAATTGGTCCAAATTGAATGTGAGTTCGTGTTATGAGTCAGAACTTCTGAATGACATCACCTACAGTAGCTGCAAAGCACCTCGAATATATAATTACTGTACCCAATCGATATCGATATGTTTTCAGAGCAGGTCCAGGCTAGTTTTGTTTAATCGGATATTAAACTGACTGAATACTTAATAAATTAAAATACCTTAATTAACATTGGGTGAATGTTGGCCCAACTGGTGAAGAACGGCATTCGCGCAACATAACAATGGGCTAACACTAAAATAACTATAATACACTAACGCAGACATTGAAACAGCGATCGCCGCTATCGAGGACTAACAACGATATAGTAGTCCTCAGTATCTCTATACACGGCTTCTCCGCACTAAGGGCTGCCGACTTCAACAACAAGCCGTACAGATCCAAGACTGGCAGCTGATTGATGCAGTCCGTGAACGTGCTCATAAGTACGCTTGGGTCAGATGTCAGTGTGTCTAGTAGCTACCGATCCCTGTCGGTATGTAAAGCTTAAGCTATGGACGTTAGGGGGACTCTTCGGCCTAATGGGCATGGCTTTGGTGAACTGCTTCATTGTGTTTCGCCCAGGAAGATGAAGAACAAGAGCCCGGCCACACACTTTCCGTTCTTCGAGACACCTATGGAGCAGCTCCTGGTGATTGACTTGCCCGAGACGTACGACGCAATTGATGTAAGCGTAATGCTGACTCAGTCAACATAGCCCAATGCTACAAGTTTTTATAGTCAACGTTACATCATCTGATGCTGCAAACTATTTTACAGAACGCAACGCGTGTTCAGGACCGAGCTCAGCTTCTCCGGTGCGCGCCAACAGAGATGTAAGCCTGCGCGTCCTACGCAAGCAGCTGACGAGTGCGGTCATCACTGTGGTGAAGTGCTTTCTCAGAAATAAGAGAATGGGCCTGACGCGGGGTCACTATCCCGAATCAGTGACAATTTCAAGTGATTAGAGAGGATTTGGGTTGATTGGCACGGGTGCAAGTTGCCTGTGGTGGATTAGCCATGACGAGCGGCACCCCGTATGCTATGACGATGAATCTGGTATGAGCGATGTACGAGAAGGCAAGATCCACCAAGACTTACCTCGGATCCACCCTTACCTGGATTCACTTAGATGGATATGGGATATACTATATCAGAGTGGATTGAGTGTGGATCCTATGAACGAATGATGGTAGGTGCCCTCTGAAGGTGGATCTAGTAGCCACGGC